CCCCCCCCCCATATCTTTTATGTTGTCTTCTGTCAACAAAATATTGCTGGGTCTACTTTTTCTCCAATTTAAGATTCTCATTTCGTTTGGTGAGTTCAACACACATTATTTTAATTTGTTCATTGACATCTCCTTCTGCCACTGTTAAGGGCTGAATGTTTGTGTCCCCCTGTGTCATATGCTGGAGCTCTTGTCTGGCGGGATGGTGTTTGGCGGTTGGGAGGTGATGGCCTCAGAGGACGCCTTTAGGGTGGGGCCCCGGGAGGAGGAGGGCCCTTTGACCCGGGAGAGTCCGTACCAGAGCTCGCTCTGCCATGCAGGAAGGCAGGCCTGTGAGGACACCGAGGGGGCTGCCTGCACCCCAGCAAGGGGCCGCAGCAGACGCCAAATCTCCTGGCGCCCTGACCTCGGGGTCTCATCCCCCGGAAGTGCGAGAAGTAAGTGTCTGTCTAACGCGGCCTCTGGAGTTTAATTTCAGCAGCCCGAGCTAACGAAACCTTATTCCGTTCTTTCTATTTCCTGCACGCATTTTGCTTCCTTTCCTTCTCTCCTTGTTCTGTTTTCCATTTGACAGATCAAATTTACTTCTGCTGATCTGGAAGCTCTAGTATTTTTTTTGAAAAAGAACATTTTTGGTGGTTACTCATAACTTATTGAGAACTGTATTTCTGTTATTTTCTGTAATATTTGAAGTACATCAGTTGTTACAATTAAGCTTATTCATTCCCCTTCGTCACTGTCATCAATCCCACCTCATTTTCTGATCCATAAAATTTGAATTATTATCTTCTTTTGGGTCCTTTATCATTTAAATAACAAACTTTACCAAGTCAGTTGCTCAGCCTTACTTCCTCTATTTTTCCAAACACATGTTTTCAGAGATGGCCTTTGAACAGTAAACCTTTGCAATCTTGTATGCCTTATATTATATTTATTTTACACTCATTGAAATGATGGCTGAACTGAATATAAAGGTCTTGTCTCTCAACAACGGTAAAAACATCAAACCAGTATCACTCTGTCTGGGATCCTTATTGAGATGTCAACCCGATTCTCCTTCACAGCTGAACTTTACGTCCCTGGAAACTTTAAAGGTCTGTCTGTGTGATCTTAAATTTCACTGTAACGTGTGTAGGTGTGTGTTCTTCCTTCTCTGTGCCCTGTCATTCTTAGGATTTTAATCTTTCTGTACTTCTGGAAAACTCTCTTTTTTCCCCAAAGATTTCCTCCCCTCTACTTTCTCCTGTTGGAATTCCTAGTTAAGAAGTGTCATCTCTTTTATTTCTTCTGCCCCATACTATTCCTGGAAGGATCTTAGAGAAACTGCACCCTCTCTAAAATGGAGATAGCATTGACCTCATAAACAGACACTACTTACTTTTACGGTGAAAAATGGCCTTTTGCAGAAATCAGCCACCAGAAACAGCAATGCCTAAGCCGGCCACACGAGGTCAGACGTCCACCAAGAAACCAGGCACAGAGCTTCTCAGAGCAGAGCTGGGGAACCCTGTGGGTGCCAGCCTCAGGGTGGCCGCGGGCCAGTGTGTGAGCCCAGCTCCCTGGAGTCTGCACTTTCCTGGGGGCCTTGTAGCCATTCACAGAACGGGTCCACACCCAGAGCCCCAAAAACAAAAGTCCTCAAGAGGCACTGTCAGCTGTGTCCCCGGCCAGTGGAGTGACTTTGGGCGAGTTGCTGAGGCTCCCTACACCTCTGGTCAGGCTCCTCCAGAAAGTGGGGACCCTACCTCCCCCTGCAAAGGCTTGTCATGGCACAGGGACCAGGATAGCATAGGTGACCCTGGAAAGCGCTGTCTTCCCTGTTCCCTCTTCTGTGGAGTGAAGGGCTGGGGGTTGGGCCTCTAAATTCCATCCTGCGTGAACAGTCAGCATTTAATGAAACTGCACTCATCCTGAGGACGGACCAACTGAAAACGATGTTTCTGGGCCGTGCACACTTCCTGGAGTTTTCTGGCTGGTGTGATGGAAGCAGAAAAGAACGTGGGGTGAGGACAGACAGCTGTCCTCGGGTTTAAAATCTAGGCCTCCGGTCGGTTGTAAGATGCAGGCAGTCTGCTTACTATCAGCTCAGCCTCAGTTTACCAATCTATAAAATGGGCTGAAATACCCACCTCATCAGAGAGGGGGTTTAGTGAGACCCGGTGTGTTGTCTCTGAATGCAGTAAGATATTGCCTGCATCTGAAAAGTGGGCTCAGAAGGACTAGCCCTTCCTGGGGTCGCTGAGAGAAGGAAGTGGCTAACGTAAGTGAGCTGATAAGCGCAGCTCCTGGAACCAGAGGAGCTTCAGGGATGGAATAAAGCACCAGCCAGCAGGAAAGCCCCTCATGGTGAAGCACAAGTTTGAAGAACTGGAGCTCGGAGCAGCCGAAGCAGCCGCCGCCACTGCTGGGCAGGGGCCTGGCCCTGCGTGAGGCCCTTCTGATGACATCAAGCGCCCGGCAAGGCGGCCCCGTCCCAGGATCAGCGCCAGCGCAGGCTCTGGCCGCAGGTCAATGGGCTGCACCGGCCGGCCGACCACTTTCCGCTCTGCAGATGTCTCCACGGTCCTCGGTGCCCATGGTCAGGTGCAGAGCCTGCTGAGAGCAAGGGGCTGGTCTCCACCAGGCCCAGAAGGCCTCTGTCCCACTGTTAGCGTGTGCGTGGCGTCTCCCCAATTCCATTACAAGTACTTTGAGTTCAGTTCCATTCAGAGCATGTCATTCTCAAGCTCCTGTGGTGTGCCAGGTGCTGGGCTGGGGCCTGAGGACTTGGAGATGACGGTGACACGGTCCCTGCCCTCGAGGAGTCAGAGACTCGTGGGAGAGACACGAGGAAGCAGCTTCCCCCGTGTCACCCAGCGAGTGCAC